TCTGCCCGAAATAGTGTTCGATTTCATCTTGACAAAGTTTTCTAGTTCGAATGTATTCAAACCCCTTATGTGACAAAACACGCCACAATCGTCGCAAACTTTGAATATTTAGAAGCCAGCCTTTAATAAAAGAAAAGTTGTTGGTGATAACTCGACCGGATAAATCATGTACAGTAATTGAACGTGTTTTCGTAAGGTTCCAAGACCTTTACTATTAAAAATGTTAAAAAGTTGGTCGAAAAACAAAGCAAATTCTGCGGTATTTAAAAAGCTAGGGGAGAGGGAAGAATTAAGGTTGCCTGTGCTGTACAATGAAAACATTACGCTAGCAACTGTGTTACTCAATATTTGAGCAGCTAGTCTTACACTCATTTTTTCAAAGCTTGTGGGCCTAAGATGCGACGATGTTAATTTAGGGGCACATCGTATTCCGCGATGTGAATCCTGTTCGTGAAAATGGACAATATCGCTCCATTTAACAGGATGTCCACGGAAATGTACATTGTTTTTACTATTTTGAATACAATTTCGCGAACTCTTCAACAAATGGGGAGAATCATAGAAAAACGCAATTTCCTCACCATTTACTTTAAAATAAGGTCTATCTTCAGTTACACCAATTTCCTCCGCGAATTTAATGAAATTTGAACCTTGGTCACAAAAAAATTGGCATGTGTGAAGACCTATTCCTTGCAGATGTGCTATTACCTCAAAAACGTACTTTTTTAAAATATCTCCTTTGCACGAGCCGTGCACGAAAAAATAAGCAATTGGCTGAGACCAAGACTCACCACCGATCCCTTGGGCCATCATAGCAAGAACACTGTTTGCTATTCTAGAGGTGCGATTTTCGTCGCCATAGTCCTCCAGTCCTATTACATAATCCCTATGCCTGTCACATTTCAAATGAGTCTTTAATGACATTTCGTCACAACATATGGAAATAAACTTCTGTTCACGAGCGAAGCCTCTGCTTCGCAACTCTAGAGACTTAATACTGCTAAAAGAGCAACCTGGAAAAGAGGCCTCAAATATCTGTAAGCTAAGGGCGACGTAAATTGAACTCCTAAAGCCACGGTTTTTAAACTCCTGTCGAAACGGCGACCAGAAGGATCGCGGCTATAATTTTTAATACATTTCCTCACGCAAATGGCAAGATGTGCAGGCAAATTTCTGAAGACCTCTTCAATATTTCTATTATTCTGCTGCTGAGGCAAATTTTGTGTTTGCGATATTAGTATTCTAATCCTTTGCTCTTTTTCTAATACACTTTGTTTTAGTACTTCTATCTCTTCTGTGGCTTTGTTTAAATCTTCTTGGTATTTTATCTTTCTGGGAGAATTTTCACTAAGATACTCATCTGTTTGTGTCCCCTGATCACAAACTATAAATAACCT